GTTTCATACTGCAAAAGCCCAGAACCTGGTAGGTACTCACTCTGAAAGGCTGGGTGTCTACCTCAGAAGTCCCACTTTATTGCTGAAGACCTGGAGGGTTCTTGGAGAGCTGTTGGCCTTCCTTCCACACTGGAAGCCTGAAGAAGTTGGCCGTAAGAATCAATGAAAGAACCACCAGCAGCAACAGGGTAGATGAATTCAACAGCAAGAGTGAAGACCAAGCAGGCAAAGGAGCAAAACTTTTGTTCTTTCATGCCTTGTTACCTTCCACATTTAGAGTAGATTCTCCCACATCAATTAAGACAGTCAAGGCAACCCCCAGATGTGATCACAGATGAACATGATGGCAGATAGGCCTTCACTGAAGCTTTCTCCCCAGGGGATCCTGAGTTGCGCCATGTTCTCAAACACATCACTTGAGAACCATAACATTCACCTCTCGTCCCCGAAGTCTCACGATTATTTCATATTGTAGTCCAGATCTTTTAAAGTCCCCAAAGTAGAGCTAGAGTGATGCTCAATGATTGAAAGCACTTTTTGTTCTTCCAGGGGATCTGAGTTCGATGCCTAGCACCCACAAGGCAGCTCACAACCATCTGTAACTCCAGTTTCAGAGGATCTGACACCTCCTTCTGGCTTCCAAGAGTATCAGGCATATATGTGGTAGAGGTATACAGACTATATGCAGACAAAAAATACATAAATGAACAATAAAGTATTTTTAAAATAATAATGAGAGATAAGATAGTGGTTAAGATCACTGGCTGATCTTCTAAAGGATCAGGGTTTAATTCCTAGCACCTACATGGTGACTTACAACAGTCTAGAATACGAGTTTTCAAGGGTTCTGACACACTTGTCTGGCTTCTGAGGGTGCTTCACACATGTGGTGCACAGACACACACATAAAATAAGTATTTCTTAAAGCCCCCAAAGTCTTTACAAATCCCAATATTTTAAACGTCCCCAATCTCTTTAAAGGTGAGCTCTGACTGGGCAGTGCTGGTGAAGCCTTTAATCCCAGCACTCGAGAGGCAGAAGCAATGGATCTCTGTGAGTTCAAGGCCAGCCTGGTCTACAGTGCGAGTTCCAGGATGGCCAAGGCTACACACAGAAACCCTGTCTCCAAAAAAAAAAAGGTGAGTTACTATAAAATCAAAACCAAGTGATATACTCAGGGCCATAGCAGATACACAATCACACTAAAGCAAAACATTGAAATCCAGCTGAGAAAACACAAAATATTGTATGTTCATTGACCTGCACCTGCACCTGCAGCCTGGGATGTAAGGTTCTAGTCTCCAAAGGACAGAGGTAGCAAAGTCTCTAGAGGAATGATTAGTCACTTTATGTCCTATAACTTAAATATGATAATATAGATTATGAAACATAACCACTGATATTATCTCAATAGATATTAAATCTGCTTAATGTATGCACAGACAAGCTCCTAACAAAATGGGACAAAAATGTTCATTTCAGTTACAAACCTTTTTTCTGTAGTTCCTGAGGTCATGTGGCCTCAGTTGATATTTATAACTACCTTCCTCTACTACCCATTGTGTATTTCCTCCACCCTCAGCAAGCACGTTAGTGGATCTTTGTTCTTTACCTGGGATCCTGAAAGATCTGGGCCAGTTTTCATCCTGCCCGGGTTGGGTTGTGGTTTCCCATTGACTTTAATCACAGGACATGGAACACAAAGAGATACCCTGAAGGACCTGATGCACTCCAGATATACTCTACCTTATTTCCACTCTGAAGCAGCTAGGAGCATAGAAGCAAAGTCGCCAAAAACATTAGAGGATCCCAAGTCCCCTTTCTTCCATGTAGTATACACAGCATCTACACCCACAGGACACTGCAAACATACTTAAGCTGCCACCACAGACCCAGGGAGCATGTGAGACATTCCAGTGTGTCTCCAGTGTCTGATTTTTATTAGTGGTGACTTCATGTAAAGATACTAAACAATCATTAAACCATGTTTATAAGGAATAGAAAGTTTTGATTAATAGATCACCAGGGACATCAAAGACAAGGAAGTATTGTTTTAAAAAAGCTGAGATCAGAACAAGCCAATTTGCCTTAAGACACAGACATTCCCATCCCAGTTTCCTTCAACTGGGAAAAGTGTATCACACTCTGTTCTTAGTATGCCAAAGGTGCTCTTAGACCCAGAATGTTCTTTTCCGGATGAGGTTGGTGGCAAAAACAGACTAGATTTGGGCAAGAAAAATTTACCTATAAGAGAGTAAAAGAAACATTCTTGCCATGGTGGCGCATGCCTTTAATCCCAGCACTCGGGAGGCAGAGGCAGGCAGATCTCTGTAAGTTTGAATCACACCTAGTCTACAGAGGGAGCTCCAGCATAGGATCTAAGGCTACACAGAGAAACCCCATCTCAAAAAACAAACAAACAAACAAACAAACAAACAAACAAAAACACAAGTTGCTTTTGCCAGGTATTTGATAACAGAACCAAGAAGAAAGCCTAATACCTGACTGAGACTGAGTATCAAGAAAGGCCAATATTAAAAGCAGAGTTCACCAAACAGATGTTGACAAGAGAAAGCTCCTAGTCCTATTCCATTCTTAGAGAAAATGAAAAAAAAAAGCAATATTGGAGTAAGAGGCTTTCAAGGAACATGTTCTCATAAAAGTACAGATTTCTAGACACATGTTAAGCCTAGATAACATAATCTCCAAGCACAAACCAATATTAACCAAATTAGAAAGAGGAATTTGCAAATCTGCGATGTGAAAGAATGTAGTTTTTTTCCCCAAGGACATAATGAGCATTTACTCAACACAGTCAAAGCCTTTATATAATAAACATATATTTCTTGAACTCAGCTTAATAAAAATTAAAATCAATAGCAAAAATAAGGTTAAAATTATCAATCATATTAAAATTAAAAAACAATAGAACTCATGAGTCAAATAAGTGAAAAACTGATTTTGGACAATATTTTGTGACATTGAAGATTGAATTGAAGAATAATATTCTTGGATATCTTTCTAAACCACCATCTGCTTATCCAATGACCTCTTTCCCCCTCAGAGTTCCTTTTGTGATTTCATAACATGTGCCTCCCCAAACACACATATAAAAATTAAAATCTGGGATCCACATGAGAAAAATGTGGTGTTTGTCTTAGTCTGTGTTACTTTATTTAATATAATAACCAGTTCTACTCACTTCCTGCAAATGCCATAATCTTATTTATCTTAAGGCCTGAAAAAATTACACTGTAAATATGTACCAATTTTGTTATCCATTCATCTATTCATGGGGATGTAGACTGATTCCATATCCTAGCTATTGTGAACAGTGCATCAGTAACATTACTGTATGGGCATCTCTGTAGTAGGATTTTGTCCTTTGGGTGTGTACTACTTTGGGAAGTGGTACAGCTGAGTTATATGGTAGGTCCATTTTTAGTTGTTTTGTGTGTGTGTGTGTGGGTGTGTGTGTGTGTGTTTTCAAAAAAGGGACTCTCTATGTAGCCCTGGTTTTCCCAGAACTTGCTATGTAGGCCACGATGGTTTGAATTCATAGAGATCCACCTGTCTCTGCCTTCCAAGTCAAGTGCTGGGATTAAAGGTTCATGCCACCATATGCAAGCAATTTTTAAAAATGAAGCCTCCATGCTGATTTCCATAGTGATTACCCCAATTTATTCCCCCCACTTCAGGAGGTTTTCTTCTTTCCCCACATTCTTGCATCTGTTGCCATTTGTGTTTTTGATGTTATTCTGGCCTGTGTCAGATGGACTAAGTAGCTGTAGTAGACATTTTATTGATACCTAAAGATGTTGAACACCATTAAAAATGCTGATGTCGACCATTTGTGTTTCTTTTCAAAACTGTGTGAGTAGTTCATTGGCTTATTTGTTGTTGAATGGAAGAGTTGGGGTTTTGGTGTTTAATTTTTGCAGTTCTTATATAATCTAGCTAAACCCCATCTCAAAACAAAAGCTTTTTGAGATGTATCATTTGTGGTGTTTTGGACGTAGTTTGTCCCTCCAAATGTTCATGTTCTAGAAGATGGTCCTCAATGTGGTACTGCAGTGATAGATGTTTTTGTTAAACACTTTTATCATTTCTGTGTATATGGGTGTGCTGGTTTCTGGGTGTGTGCACATTTACCTGAGGAAGCCAGAGGCATTGACTCCCCTGGAATTGAAATTACAGGGTGCTGGGAACAGAATTCAGATACTCTCCAAGAGCAGTATGCTATCTTAACCATTGAGCTGACTCTCCAAGCCCAGTGGAAGATCAAGAGGCAGGAGCCAGTTTAATTTATTTTGAGGTACAAATTTTTCCCATCCTGAAAAAAATTTGGGTTTGTTTGTTTGTAGACAGAATTTCTCTGTGGAAAAGCCATGACTGTCCTGGAAGTCTCTCTATAGACCTTACAGAAATCTGCCTGCCTCTGCCTCCCAAGTGCTGGGGTTAAAGGCATGTACCACCATGCCCAGTTTAAGAGGTTTGTTTTTGAGGCAGGGTCTCACTATGTAACCTACACTAGGCTAGTACTCAGGGTCATCCTGCTTCAGTCTCCTGCTTCATACTCCTGGGAGTATGATACATGTACAGGAGAATTTAGGCCTTTAGTGGAATGCTCTTCAGTAGTTTTGTTTTGTTCAATAAAAACAGATCACTGGAGGCTGCCTTTTTTCTCATGACACCTGTGAATTAGTTCTCAGATAGACCCGCTCTGGCTTCCTGTCTGGCCATGTGATCTCTCCCTTACACACATTCCCACCATTGTGATGCCATTCTTCATGCCTTTACCAGCATCAAGCAGATGGCTGCACTATGTTCTTGAATCTCCTTAACTGTTACCTAACAGTTACTCTGTGCCCACACCTGCAGATGTACAATCTTAAGATGGTTATCTCTTTTAATTTTAGATTTATTTTATTATGGGGTATGAAGCTTTTGAATTTCCAGTGCTGTAGGCTATCCACCAGAGAAGACTACTCAGACATGGGTTTAAGCCAATAGAAAGTGTTTATTAGCTAACCCTTGACTACACCACATGTTCAGAATCCCAGGTAGCTCCAAGCCTTGCTCAGGGTGAGCTTTTAAGCACAGAAACCATATCCGGGGTTGATGAGCTTCAGTTAAGCAATAACTGAACCCAGGTCCCCTGAAAGAACAAGCATTTCAAACACTGAACTATCTCTCTAGCCTGCTTAAGGCTCTTCTATGAAGTGGTACAGTATTCACACAGGATTTTGCTTACAGGTTTATCTGTTGAAGAAAAGGATCTCACTTGATAGTTCAACATAGGCTTAAACTTGCAATCCTGTCCCAGTTTCCAGATTATCAACAGCTGGGTTTCAGTGTTTGCTAAAACTACTTAAGAACGCCTGTAACCCAGAATTCAGGCAGGGTTCACACTGACATCTGACTCGCATGAATTTGGCTTTTAGATAGCCCTTTGTTCATCAATACTGAGTAGTAGAATCACAGGTGTGGGCTACCACCTCCAAGTTATTTATGGCTTTGTTTGATAGTACTGGGGCTTGAACCTAGGGCCTCACAGGTGCTAGGCAAGTGCTTTACTTCTGAGCTACCCCCAGTCCTTTTTAATAATTTTGTTGCTGTTTTTGAGACAGAGTCTTACTGTCTAGCTCTGGCTGACCTGTAACTATGTAGATCAAGCTAGCCTGGAATGCAGGACCTGCCTACCTCTTAGTCCTCAAGTGCTGGGATTGTAAGTGTGTACCACCACCATGCCCACCTCTGGTTATGTATTACTGAGAGAGGGTTTTTGTGTTTCTCAGACTGGCTCGGGTTCATCCTCTTGCCTAAGCCTTCCTGTAATTGTGACTTTAGTTGGAAGTCACCATGACCTGACTGGTTTCAGACACTTAAATTATCTCTGGAGGAGTATTTGTATTATCGAATATGTTAATGACATAGTTGAAACATGTAGGGAAAGACAAGTAAAATAGTGCACATGTTCAACAGTCTTTCAGAATATACTTAATTTGCAGTCAGTTGAATCCAGAACCCATGTATGAAGTGCAATCACTCCCCCTCCCCCCCCCCTGGTAGCTTTGGGATTGGATCTAGGGCTTCCCATATTCGAGGCTAGCACTCTATCACTGTGCAGTTAGTCTCCTTAGGCAGTTCTTGCCAAAGGGCTGACGGATGAAATAGTCTGAAAATAAGAGACTTGATTTCTCCTTGGAACCCTTTTTAGTTAGGAACTATTGCTCTAGAAATGCTTATTTTTTAAAAAATAGTTTCTAGGTGTTAATGATGGGTCTAATGACCATAGTGTCTCCGGTCATTCTCTTTAAACTTTAATCAGAAGAATTCGACCACCCGTCACTCCTCCACTGCTTGGGAGTGCTATAATCAGCTAAGAAGCACAGAAACCCGAGTCCTAATCCAGGACGCAGGTGTTCGTCGCGCAGCTGAAGAATCCCTTCCGGGGACCTCATCTCCCGTGGGCCCCTACTGGTCCTGCAGCTTTGGGGAAGTCGACTTCACCTCAGCGGCTCCCCACGAGGAAATCGGAGGGTGTCTATCATGTAACAACAATGGGGGGGACACAGGACCTTTGAGAGTCTGTCCCTCGGGGTTCTCCAGCCCCAAGCCACAACTTTCAGCTTCCAAGCCCGCAGGCTGAGACCACCCACGAGAGAAGCACGCTGCACACGCCTCGCGTTCCCGCAGCTCCACCGCCTGCCTCCTCAGCCGCCCAGCACAGCATCAGAGGCCTCCACCAGAGTCACCGGCTGGCCAGACAACTCGTCCCGCCCGCGCCTCCGCAGCGATGGGCGCGCGAACCGTCTGAAGCCCGGGGTGGCGGCTAACACGTGACCAACGTGCTTAACCCGCGCCGCCAGTGGCGCCGGCTCAACCTCCGCGGCCCCTACGCCCATGCGCGAAGCTCAGGCTCCTCCCAGCGGCCGTTTCCAAGAGGGCGTGTCCATGAGCCACGTGACCCCCGGCGGCCCTTAGGACGCGGTGCTGGCGGCTGGCGCTCCAACGCGCTTGCGTAGTAGTTGGACGCGGGCGTTTTTTTCTCCTTTTTTCCCCTTCCTTGAATTGGTTCTGAGAGGGTATTTCGAGTTGCAAGATGGCGGCTCCGAGCGCCCTGTTCAGCGTTTAGTAGCGGCTTCAGGCTGAGCGGATGCGTCTTGCCCTTGGTGTCGGACTCAGAGTCGCACAGCTCCCGAGGCCTGCTAACCACGAAGTCCTTGGAGGCGCTCAGCGCACCGGAAGCTCCCAACGGCCGTGACCGCCGCCTCGGACCTGTTCGCTGCGGCGCCCGGGACCTAGCGCGATCTGCGGCGGCCGCCCCGGAGGTGAGGGCCCGGCGCGCCGGGCGGGCCGGGAGGGCGGGGCGGCAGCGGCCTTTGGCGACGCGGCCGTCTGTTTGTGAAGCCGGGCCGGGCCTGCCCTGCGAACCGCGGCTCACCCGAGGAGAGCTCGGCGGGGCTCGGGCCTCCTCCCGGGCGGAGGTAGGCGGCGGTGGCGGCAGGACTGCCCTGGCCTACCCCAGGCCTTCATTTCCTCCTACATCGCTCCCGTGGCTGGCCCCGGTTGCACTCACAGCGTTCCCAGGCCGTTGGTCTCCCGGGTTCGTAAAGAGCGGGTTTTGAGATTTGGGTTTTCCGGGGCGTTTCGGTGACTTCAGTGCTCCTCGCTGTCGAGGCTCGCCCAAGCGGTTTTTCGTGTGAAGTTCATCTATAAAGAGCAGACCGGTACTCGGGTGCCCGCACTCACTGCAGGAAGCGATCAATCACGAATGATTGCGTTTCTCCTAACAACTACAGCACTTAATATCTAGAAAGCATTTCATAACTTGGTGCCATTTTACCCGCAAACGCAGACGTTTGGCAAACTCTTTCGGGCTGCTGGTGTAATTTCATTTGTTACGGGGATTAGATTCCTCCGGTAATATGTTGGAAGAGGACTCGCGTAGCGCGTACAGCTCTATCCCCAGCACTATGCAAGGGGTGGGGGGGGGAGCCTTAATAGCAACAGTAATAGCTGGCAAATAAGTCTTTAGCTCCAGGCCTTGTTCGAAGTACTTCAAAGAGATGTCTTTCCAAAAGAGGAAATGTGGTTAAGTATGTGTTCGGTACTTTTGTTTTTAAAGGTGAGGTTTTGGTAAGATAGATACATATCTTATTATTCTGCCTCAGTCTCTCCGTTGCTATCATCCCGGTTGGTGAAACGTGTCTTAAAATTTGAGCTTATCGTTCGCGTTACTTTGTTTTCCAGCACTACAACTTTTGAGTTTGGGAGTAAAAAATGTATTTTGTTTTTAACCAGGCTCGTTTATTTAATATTTACAAAGCACTTCCTCTGTTCTAGGGACCATTCTAAGCTTCGCACTCTTTCCATCCCACAGATGAGGAAGCATTCGCCAAACTCACTTCCTGGCATCTCTCAGCTTGTCCTGGATGCTAGTACTAGCATCTTGTAGTATTTTCTCAAATATGTAATGCCTCAGATCACTGATTTAGCAACAGTTATCTATGAGTCAAGCAGGTTTGGGACATTTGGAGTCATCAGTAAACCAAACTAAAATTCTTCCCTTGTGGTTTATCTGACTGAATAAATATGAAATGACATCAGCTTCATTAGTTTGTTTTATTGTGGCAGTTACTCTTTGTTTCAAGTATGAGTTAGATGTTAAAGTTTTACTCAGTATTTTATTTGCATGTCCTACTATTCCTTTTGTCCACATTAAGTGACTGTAATCGGTCCACTGCTTGTCTCTTCTGCCCTCTGGTGTTGATGTTAGGTAACGATTAGAAAAATTTTCGATGGATCCAGAGACCTTACCCGTGAGTTCTATGAAGAATGCTATTTCTAATAAGGTCAACTTTGCAATGTTTGTGAGGAGGAGTTAAAAGAGAGGGCTCCCAGTTACTGGTGTTATTAGAGTTCATACTGTATATTTTAAAATCTTCAATTTTAAAAATCATTCTGTAATCAGGGAAAAGTACCTGGAAGAGAAATGCAAAAGATTGGGATATAGTAGAAGCTGGAGCCCCTCCTTCACATGAGCCTTTGGAATTCTGTGATTTGGGATGTATTCTTAATCTTCTGCTGTAGCGCATGAGATGATGGGTAAGATGGTATCTAGTCCTGTCGTAGGGTTCCTGTGCTGGGTTCCTGTGATGAGGGCAAGTGAATGGAGAACGTATCAGAAAGGAGTCCTGAGAGATACTGCCATCCCAGGCAGTGCCTTGCTGCTGCTGCTGCGGGTCTGAAGAATCCAAACTGCTGGACATGGGTGCCAGGAACAGAACTCGGGTCTCCTGTGAGATTAGTATGGGCTCTTAACTACTGAGCTGTCTCTTCAGCTCCTGTTGTTGCTATTTCTAAAGAAGCAAAGCTTTCATCTTTAAATATTTATTTATTTGAGACAGGGTTTCTCTGTGTAGCCCTGGCTGTCCTGGAACTAGCTTTTAGACCAGCCTGACTTTGAACTCACAGAGATCCACTTATCTACCTGTAACCCTGGAGTTAAAGATATGTGCCACCATCCCTGGCAATTACTATTATTAGCATCATTATTAAGGATTTATTGTTTGGGTAGGTATGTGCTTGCTCAACTGTGGAAACCAGAAAACTTAGATACTCCCTGGAATTGGAGTTACAGGTACTTGTAGGTACTGGGATTCAAAACTTGTTCTCTGCAATAGCAGTGCACTCTCTTATCTGTGAAGCCATCTCCAGCCCTGGGGGGGGGGTACTTTTGAAGCATCCATTAGCAATAAAATTTTGAATTTGTAAGTAATGTCTTTTTGAAACATGTAATTCAGGGCAATTAAATGTTAATTGGGAGACATTTCTATCAACTGTAGCCTTAAGGAAAGGACTCATGTTGCAAAAGTATTTCCAATACATTATTAAAATCCTTACCCAAGAATAAACTAATGAGTCATCTTTAAATTTTAAATATTGAAAATGTTTTATTTACAGCAAGAATGTTTGTATTGACTTAAGGACTTTGCTGTATGTACAATATACTATGTAAATATTGTAGATTTTGAAAGATCAATAGATGTTTCATTTAATCCTTCTGAATGGCTTCCTATTTAGAAAGAGTGTCAGTATTCCTCAGGTATCTGTGTCTACTTCTTCAAATAGTAATTGAATATGTGCCACTGGAGGAGTCCTCCAGCCCATTGTAAAGCTCTCACTGAAGTAGTTTTCACTGGCTTCAGGAACATGCTTATCAGATCCTATGCTGGACTAGATTTTTAAAAATTATTTGTAATAAAAATTTTTAGTTAAAAAAGTAATATTAACTTTTATAAATTCCATATTTTCCTTAATGTCCTACTGTATTTCCTTCCCTTTGAGCAAAGCCCTCTAAGTATATCTCATTTGTTTAATCCTGTTAACTGCTTTTTCTTAAATTTCTGTATTTTGTGATTTTATTGCAAAATAAATGAAGACTGCAACAAAAAAATTTATTTGTAAGAGCTATCTTGGTGCAGAAAAGCAAACATTTTATTTCTGTTTTCTGTAATCTAGGTTCACAAAAATGGCCAAAAGAATTGCCGAGAAGGAACTAACAGATAGGAATTGGGATCAAGAAGACGAAGCTGAAGAGGTACAGAACAGTTCTCTTCGTGGTTTATTGCCTGTATTAAAGCTCATGCTGCGTTCTTCGTGAAGAATACGGTAGACTTTGACCCTTTGAGAATACGCAGAGCAGGAGAGCAGATGCTTCCTTGTGAGCTGTGTACACAAGCTATAGACACTTTTCTTCATATATGAATGGCTTTTCTGCTAGTGAGTGCTCCTGAAGAGTGTGTAGACATACCTTCCTGCAGACTTCACATATTTGCAGCATCCTCTGCTGTGGTTTGAGTGTTTTAGTCATCATTAGAAGGCAAGTTGAGGGAGCTAGTCATGGAATTAGCAGTTCTCTCCACAGTCCCCTCACTGTTTGCTGTTGTGATGCTAGGCCTGCACCTCAGCAATTGTACTGATTAGAATAGAATTTACATTAGTGCTGTAGTTTCTTTGCCAGCAAAATTAAGTTGTCGTCTATGGGGAAATATTTGCATTTCTAGGTCTCTTGAGCAAGTTGATACTCCTAGTCCATTTCACTAAGAAAATCTGTAGTAAAGATAACTCCAGCTCTATAGCAGACAGCTAGGAGCTAAGGGAAGAAGGAATTAGGGAATAAAAAGTGTCTTGTAGTTTTATTCGTAGACTGCTTTCCTCCTTTTTGGTACTGATATGTATGCTGATTATGTTTAGGGAAACCAAACCACTGGTGTGTTAATGGTTTTTACAGGGCATTTAACTGACTTGATCTTTGAGTCGTTGGTTGTGGATTTTTTTTCCCCCTGCCTTGATCTTAAGCATAGTCCTGGGGTGGGAGAAGGTCTAGACTGCCATATAATTGTTTGCTTTGACACTAAAGTGTCCAAGAGTGAAAGAATTCGGACAGGTTCTCCTGAAACGAGTATGAAAGTCAGTTACATTGAATTGGACAAGTGTAGCCAAATGGTCCTTGTTCTGAGTATGAGGGTCTTTGTTCTGGATTAACATGATCTGTAGATGAGAGTAGTTTCATCTTCGAGATGGAATCAATTTGTAATTCAGACTGGCCTTGAACTGTCAGTCTTGCTGCTTCAGCCTCCTGTGTGTAGCTGCTATCAGTTGGAGCTGGCATACCTGGCTGGATGAGAATTTTGCACAGGAAATATTTAGTTCTAGCCTTAAAGGTAAGAGGATAGATGAGATACAACCAAAGCCCTGCAGCACATTCATCACACTGGAAGATTACTTGATGACTGGGGTCGTTTGTGACTAGGTATCTGGCCTTTTAGACAGTGGACAAGGTGGGCAGGAT